AATAGAATATGACTATAGTTGAATATGGCTATTATGTGACTACGTTGTGTATAATAGTGTAATTAACATATTGTAGAAGCATAATTATTAATATAACAGTAAGAATATGACTACTATGTGAATGTGACTGTGCTTTGTAAAACATTATAATTAACAGACAGTAGAAACATGAATATGACTATTATGTGACTACAGTTTGTATAACATACTGAACATGATAGTGGAAATATGACTATTATGTGACTAGCAACTGCGTAATGTGACTACAAGTAATCAGCACTTGAAAAAACTTGCAATATTAACAGCAAAATACATTGCAAAAAGAAAAAAAATGACTATGAAAAAACGAAAATAACTAATGTGATCCTTCAACAATGGCCATCGAACATGTTTTTTTGTGACGGTATCCAACTCGGTTGCACCGACTGCACTTAATCTTCCGTTTGATCTTCTCTGCTAAATATGACTACACTGTTGAACATATGCGGCACCACAAAAAAAAAAAAATATAACTAAGTTGTTAAACATGACTACTCTGTCAAACGTGACTACTCTGTAAAATACATTGCACCACAACCGACTAATCTCGTAATTCAATAGATTTTCCAGATCTAAACATTCATGATATGTAGAATAACACAAAAATTAATATAATCAAGAATAATTGAAAATCAATGTATTCGTTCATAACAAACAAATAATAGAACTAAAAATCCAGATCCATGACATATTCTATTGCTAGTTCGACAATTAATTCGAGAAAAATAAAAAATAAAATTTACCAATTAATATAGTATATATTGGTATTCCGCATTGAGAGAAGGGAAATCTCCATATAGAAATCCGACGGAGGCAGCGACAAGGTGGGGGAGGCGCCGCCGCCAATTGTACCAGGCGTCGATGTGGTGGTGTTCGACGAGGGGGGAGACGATCTCCAACATCGGCGGAGAAGGGCCTCCTGCAATGGGTTTCGGCGGCGGCGTTTGAAGGGTGATTCCGGCGGCGGCGGTCTACAGATGTGAAGAAGAAGGAAAAAAAAAAAAAAAAAGAAAAAAAAAACTGTAACAGAGAAAAATAGCGAGAGAATGAAAGAGAGAGAGGCGAGAACCGAGAGAATGAAATTGAGGGAGAAATAAAATTGTATTATATTAAAACCCTAACACATAAGGGCACTTTAGTCTTATCATGGCTGGTAAGGGGGGTCTCACTAATTTAGATTGGAATGTGGGTTATGGGAAAAGTCTTTAAAGTCAATTGAGTTTAGTTCAAAATATTTTCTAAATAAGGGGTGTATTGCATATTTCCCCATTCATTATATATGCTTCTACTCTTGCACCATATTTTCGATTTTAGCCTAAGCTAACATAGAAATATAATGGAAGAATTACACTTTTAGTCCTCCATATTTTGGCCCTATTCCACTTCTAGTACCTTATATTTCTAAAGTGAATAAATTGCACCACAAAATCAATTTTAAACACATTTTGTCCCCTCGGTCACCTTCTCGTTCACATTTAACGGTGAAAACTAGGGTAAATTACAACCACCCCTAAGGTATAATCAAATTACGAAAAAACCCCTCTTGTTTGGATAATTACATCTACCCTTCAACTATGAATTTTCTTACACCTCCACCCTTATGGTGTCAAATTCAGCATAATTATATAGATTATGTAGAATGTTCTCTAGTTTGTATTTATTTTGTGCAAAAATACAGTTTTCGATGCACCACAATCTGATACATACAAATCAAAAAACACATCTTATGATCATCTTGCTTCAAAATGTGGAGCTTGAATGAGATAAAACGGAATGTGGAGCTCGAATGAGATAAAACGGATACAAAATTAATAATATTCAATATAATCAAGAAGATTCCTCTAAATTTGAAACCGCAAAGGTGGATGTATAAAAAGATTTATAGTTGATGGGTGGTTGTAATTACCCAAAAAGATTTATACCTCAGGAGTTGTTTAGGGGTTGTTGTAATTTACCCTAAAAACTATTTTGGAGCTAAAATTGAAGTTTAAATTTATTTGGTGGTTGAAAAATAATTAAATTGTTTTGAAGTACGAATAAATATTATTTTATTTATAATTATTTTCTTCTGTGCTTTTTTTCACCAGCAGTACACCCCGGTGCACTCACTAGCTACAGATTTTGAATACCAAAAGTACAGTTCCAAATGTGAACACCACAAAGAAACAGACAATAGTTTGACAAATCAATGCTGTGGTCCCCACGCAATGGAGAAAAAAAGGAAAGTATTAAATGCGACAGAACTATGCCCACGCGCACTTGCAGCCAGTCAAACACTACACGCGCTGACCAAAATCTGCGGAGATATAGGGGTAGATTAAAGTCAGAGATTAAAGCAGTAATACGGGCAATAATTGGCTCTTTAGATCCTACAACTATATTTAGATACTAAATAATGAAATATTTAATTTTAATTTTAAATATATATACAAATAGATTTGTTTGTAAAATTGAATTAATCAACAGTGTACGTGAAATTATTATAGACCAATTGGGAAATCGAATAGGTGAAAAATCCATCAGTAAATTCGAATGAATTAGATGCTGCCCGTTCGGGCAGCGGGCAGCAGCAGAGGCCGTCATTCTCAGCCACTCAAGCTGTTTCTCTCTCTACAAACATTTGCATTTTATTTATCCGGGCCACTTTGCTTCGGAGCCAGGCTCGGGCCACGAAAATTGAAAGGGTAAAATTCATTTTGCACCCCTGTACTATGATAAATGTATCGTTCACCCCCCTGAAGTATTGAAAACATCAAACACCCCCCTGCCGTTAGTTTTTTTCTTCTAATTCCGTTAGTCAAACACTTTGACCGACTATTGCAAAGAAATGTTGGCTTTTTTTTAATGAAAATACCCCAAAAAATTTCTATATATAGGAAAACTAACGGCACAAAACCCACAAAAAATGAAAACTAAAAGCCCTGAAATCTAT